GGGCCTAGCACAACTTAAGGCCTGTTAGGGTTTTCACAATGAGCATATAAATAGGATTTATATGTCTTGTGAAAGACACACAAAATAAAAAACGACATAACACAAGCTTGAAACCATAGCTTCTCTCCCCATGGCCGTCCACCTTGCAGCCGAAACCCTACCTCCGCCACCAGCCGCCGTGCCGCCGCCAGTTGCCGCCGCATCGGCATCTTCCTTTTCCCTTCGTTATTCTTCGTTAGTGGATTGAATATACAAAGTGAAACCTAAGAGGAAGAATATTATTATTCCGCCATCGCTGCCACCAGGGCCGCCCCTATGCGCCCCCACGCGCCGCCACAAGCCGGTGATGCGAGAATCCAATTATGAAAAAACTGCTCTCGGATTTTATGCGCAGTCCAGCGAGAAATTTCGCCATAAATCAACCGATGATCGGATGAATGTGAAATTTTGACAGAAGCTTAAAAACGCATTGATGTACAATCTACTGAAAGGAATGGTGCATAGATTCAATAACCATGGAGATATTTTGGATCAGAAAAGAGGTTGGATTAGTTGGAGTAGGAAGAGCAGCTAGCCATCTTTTCGTGTCTTCGTTCGATTCAAGCTTCAAGGGTAAAGTATCGGTTTCCCTTTATGAATATATATATATATATATATATATATATATGTGTGTCTGTGTGTGTGTGTGTTTGTGTGTGTGTGTGTGTGTGTGTGTGTGTGTGTGTGTGTGTGTATTAATTTATATTAATTGAGATTAATGTATGTTAATTGATTATTGAATCATATGAATCTATATGTTCGATTATGTGTTTATGTGAATCGTTCGTTGAGCATGTTAATTATTTGATTTAATTTTGCGAGCATGCTATGATGATTTAATTTAAGTCATTTAAATTAATTATATATGCGAGCATGTTTGTCGGTGATTGGAAGCGAAAAGGTACGCAGTTAATTGTAATTATTGTGCACGTGTTTGTTTATATAAATTAGTTTATATAAATAAAATAATTTTTTTTATTTTTTGCTGCATACACGTGCTTGATCCCCAACAAAAACCTAATTACATTGTTAATAACATTCACATTACTAATACATCCAGTAAATCCGCGTATACATTCAATTATTGGCTCCAATGACAACAACATTATATAAACACTTGCAAACAAACATAGCAAAACATAATTATACTGCTAATAACAGTCAAATTACATAAACAACCAGCGAAATGACATATACATTCAATTATACTAGCAATAACAACAACATTATATAAACACTTTCCGAAAAAAACAAAGCATGAAAACATATATACACTAAAAAACCAAAAAATAAAAATAAACACATTTATGCAAACAGACATTGAACGCCCATACATCATGGTGTTCAATTTAGTACAATTCAAACTATACATATCTCGATGTTGACATTCGTAACTTAAAAAAGCATTCGCATGCAGATCAAAAAATTTGACACACCTTCCTTGAAAATTATACTACACCAGATATGATAGACGAAAAAAGCTGGAAAGGATGGTCGTATAACAGCGAGACCCGACGTGAAATAGGTAGATTCAGTTCCAAGATGCAGAGGTATATAGAGGAATTCGGGAGAGAAGAGAGAAGAATCGCGCATAAAACATGAAAAATGGGCGTAGGGCTTTCAATTTTCAGTTTATATACATAAGTAATTATGTCCTGAAAAATACCCTTGCCTTGATTTTAATAAACTTTTATGTAGTGGTTTTTTTTACAAAACAAAAAAACTGAATGTCCTTTTTTTAATTAAGTCTATGTATCATGGTAGACACAGCCACGGGCACGGTCGGACCCGCCGGCTCCGGGTCCTACTTTTTTGGGACCCGAAACGGACCCGTGTGGAGGCGGGTGCGAGTTCAGGTCGGGTCCACTCGGGTCCAGGCCGGGTCCAAGTCCAAAACTGGTTTTCTGATTTTTTTTTTTTAATCTTGACCGTTGGAAAAAAAAATAATTCAATCAGACCGGGTCCGGGTGGACCCGAGTTTCTAGCTGTTGAAAATAAAAAAAATGAAAAAAAAATTTAATTTCCGGACCGGGCCCGGGGTCGGGTCCGATTTATAGCCGTTGCATTTTCAAAATTTAAAAAAAAATATATGTTTTTATTCGGGTGGACCCGACGGGTCCTCGGGTCCCCTCGTTAGGTAGATCCGGTAGGTCTCGGGTCCAATAAATCAAGACCCAAAACTGACCCATGTAAAGTTGGGTCCGGGTCCGGGTCCAAGGGGTGCGGATTGGTTCCAGGGCGGGGCGGGTCCAAATCCGGGTCGGGTCCAGGTCCAACCCGGCCCGTGGCCGTGTCTATGTCATGGGTCTATTTGCCATTTACCCAATACTTAGAACTTTGAAGTTAGAAGTGACATGATGCGTTGTTTGGTTTTATTACATCAAGGAATCTCAACTTCTATATGCAGGGACGCATCTAGACAATATTGTAAGGGGGCGATTTTTTTTGGAAATAATATATGTAGGTAGGTTAATTTTTCGGGTGTTCGGGGGCAGCATCCCCAGGTTTCTTTTAGAGTTATACAAAAAAATTGCTAAAATTAGTATATATTTATAACATTTAGTTAAAAACTAAGAATTTTAGTTGCACTATTTTATATTGTCATAAAAATTAAAAAAAAATATATCTAAATTTACACAAGAGAGAAGAACATTTTGGGGTTGGCAAGAACACATATTTATAAATATTATGCCAAAAAGCAATTAAAAAGATTGATTTTATTTTTTCTTGGAGGGGCGGTTGCCCCTTCCTTGTTACACCACTGTCTATAATCTATATGTCTACATCGATGTGTATTTATTTGTATAAGTTTTGTAGATTATAGGTTTGGTGATAGACGAAGAAAGGAGTGATTTGATTTTTAAAATTTGTTATAAATTTGGTTTGTCTGAAATGCCTAAATTGGCATCCTCTGTTTCAAATTCCAATTGCAAATACAAGATTATCAATTCCCTTAGATTTGGCTGCTCCAAGGTGTTTTTGGGGATGCGGGTGTCGAAGAACATGGAGAAGGAAGAAAATAATAAATGGAGGGAAACGAGGACGAACAAAAAATTAGTAAAATTTAGGTATTTGAAAAGACAAATATACCCTTACAAAAGTTATTAATGTTATTTTGAAGCAATGCTTGAAATAGATGTTGACTTTTGGATATTCTTAGAAAGGAGATAGCGTTTTTTTAGGGATGCTCATAAATTCAAACTGTACCAGAATATTTGTACGTAAAAAAATTGTACCATTCACCGTATCGAACTACTCCGTTTGCTACATTCTTTTACCGAATTATTTCGGTTTTTTCAGTTCGGTATCGGTAAAAATGGAAAACATATGTTCTTATTTTAAGAAAGGTAAGAAAAAATAAAAATATTTAAGCTAATTAATTCTTGAATTTGACAACAAGTTTCAATAATCGGCTCTCAAAACAAAAAAGTGATTATCAATAGAGGTTAATTTGTAAATAATGGACAAATTTATCAATCTATAAGCATTTTATAATTTGTTAACCTTAAAGGATTTTAAAATAAAGATTTTTTTAAATATTTATGTATTCGGTACGGAACGGTATACCGGACATCAAAACCGTATACCGTACCGAATACCAGAATTCAAAAAATAAATTACTGAATACGGAACCGAATTTCGGGTTTGGTATGTTTGAGTGAACACCCCTACGTTTTTTTCCCGACATAGGGAAGATTACAGCTATTCGTGGGTCCAAAAAATATCAATGGAACAGAACACCTAAATTTTGAACCTTCTTCACACGAGATCTTTAATACCAAAAATATCATCCGACCTGTACATGGGTGAAATTTGGCAACATGAACGTCAGATATATTAGAAAACATTGACGTCGGAATTTTTCAGAAAATCAAAATAAATCCTAAAAATTTCTAATTTTACTCTAATTTTTCATTTTCCAGCAAGTAAGTATACCATTTAATGGGGAGCTAAAGTGAGAAATTAAGAGGATGTACGAGTATTGTGATTTGTGATGTAGGATCATCAAAGTATAGAATAAAGTGACCGATAACGGTTACACTATAACACTAAGGTAATATGATAGATACAGGAAACATAATATAATTATGCGAGGTAATTGCACATAACCCCTGTGTAATCTCGAATGGCTAAAAAAACTCTTGTGTTAAAAAATTTGCACAAACCCCCCTATGATGTTTTATATGAAGCATACCGCCCCTTTTATTAAAATTAGCTATTGACTTACATACAATGACTAATTTACCCTTACGAAAAAAACATGAAATTGTTAAAAAAAAATGAGTTTTGAACAAAAGCCAAAACCATCTTCCCCAACACACTGGAAAATCTTATTTAAAAGAAGATATCTTACAAAAAAAACATGTGAAAAAAAATGAGCTATTGTTTTTTTTTTTCTTTTTTTGAATGATTTTCACTCAAATCCTCCTCAAAACATTCATGTCCTTAGATTTTTGATAATTCTTCAGTAATCATTCCTCACAACTCGCCAGAATCGAAGTGTTACTGTTCCATTTGTCCGAAAAATGATTTCCCGCGTCGAATCTACGTCGAACCAGATCCCACTTTTAGAAATCCCCGACCATCAAATTTGGCTGGAAAAGGTTTGCCGACATCGAATCTACCTTTAACCAGGCTCCCACCCTTATTTCTCACCAGAACTCCCCATAGTCGGATCCGGTTCTTCTCGTCGGAAAAATGTTGTTGAAGGAGTAGGACGCATGTGCAGAAAATCCTCCATTACCGATGAACGGCGGAGGGCTGGGGGGTCAAGCACTTTGGCGTTGACGAAGAGACGTTGTCGATGGAGGAGAAGATTGGAGGAGGCCGGTGGTGGGAGGAAAGGGGCCGTAGGAGGAGGAAATTCGGGAAGAAGACGAGTCTAATTGAGATCTTTTTTTTTTAAATATGTTATTTTTGTTTGCGTAAGAAATTTTGAAAATTATAATTCGATCCAAAAGTTTGTATTATTTGCATTTAAACCCAATTGGATTTAAGTTTATTTATAAAATAATTTAAGAGGGTATTTTTGACTTTTCACGTCAAAAATTACACTGTCACTTACACAAGCCGCGCGTACAACACACGACATGTTGTCAAGGGATTTTTTGCCTTTGACTAATTTTCATCGGGGGGTTCCTGCTAATTTATTTAACACGAGGGGTTTTTCGGCAATTCGAAATTACATAGGGGTGGTCCTTGCAAAAAACCCATAATTATGCATACAAACAAGTTCATATTTGGTTATTTATGATAAGGAACAGCAATGAGTGGTGTTTCTTTCCTCATGACAATCCCAAATTTCTCCGACAAGTCAATCTTTTGTCCCTCCGGCAACCCCCACTCGTACGTATGAACGAGTGTAGCCAACAAATACATTACCATCTTCTCAGCCAACGGAATACCAGGGCACACCCTTCTCCCCGACCCGAACGGAAGATACTCAACGTTGTTTCCAATGAAATCAAATTTTTCGGAGTTATCATTCAAAAATCTTTCGGGTCGAAATATTAAAGGATTCTCCCAAACATGTGGGTCCATGTGGATTGACCACATGTTCAAGAAGACCCTTGACCCCTTTGGGATTGTGTGCTCTCCAATTGTGCAAGATTCACTCGGATACCTTGGAACGAGGAGTGGCAATGGAGGATGTAGGCGGAATGTTTCCTTTACAACCGCTTCGAGATAGTGTAGTTTCGATACATGGGATTCTTCAACGACGTTGTTCGCTCCTACAACATTTGTTACTTCTTGCTGCACTTTTTGCATTATACTCGGGTTGTGCAAAAGCTCGGTCATCACCCACTCGACCATCGTTGCCGTAGTATCGCTCCCGCCGGCAACAATATCCTATAATCAAAGAGCATATTTTATGTCATTTCAATGAAAGAGAATCACAAAAAGACTTACACTGTTAGCTTCAAAGAGTATATTTGTCTTGACTTTGGATCACAAGAGGGTTTATGCCTATAAAAATGGTTAGCAATTTTTTTTCTTCAAATTTGAACACAAAAATTTGAATTTCTCCTATATATTCAAGAAACAACAGAACTAGGGGCAGGCATAATAAGCAATAGAGGTTAACACCAATCAAGCTCGTGTAGCTTGATTTTTTTATTTTTTTTCTAATCGATTCCCGACTCAAAACGATCGAGTTTCAAATCTTATTAATAACAAAAGTATACGTGTTGAAGTTTGTTTCGTTATGTTAACAAATCGAGTCCAAACAAGCTTTTACTGAACGGTGTCGAATCATATTAAACCAACAAGAAAAGGAAATGAAGTGGAGAAAATTACCATCAAAATTGCCTTGATTTGAGTTAAACCAAATGTTGAGCCTTCTCCGAGTTGCTTATCCTTCAGCTCCAAAAGAATTCCAATAAAGTCCTTACTCCTTTCTTCACCCTCCATACCACCACCAGCCGCCATGCTCTTCACTTTCGCATCGATAAAACAATCGAAAATTCGTTCGACCTCCACCACCACACCCCTCATTTCTTTCGCGATTCCCTGCAAATCAAACCTAGCCAAAACCGGAAAAAAATCGGAAACGTTAGGCTTTCCCAACAAATCAATCAATTTCGAAATATGAACCCGAAACTCGTTTCCGAGCCTGCTACGCTCCGTGGGGTCCATCTCCCCGCCCCAGAGCAAGCTCGTCAGTACATGGAGCTCCGTCAGGAAAATGAGTTCCCCAATTTGAACGGGACTCCCGATTTGTGTATCGAGATTCCGGATAAGCTTCCGGACTTCCTCCGTGCGGAAAACGTGCGAAGCCTGGAGGTTGGTGTTGTTCATCATCTCACGAACGAACAGCTTCCGTATGTCGCGCCAGTAGGGACCGTTTGCGGTCCAGACGATGTTGTACCCGCCCGTGGCGATTAGTGCTGCAACCGGCGGGTCCCGGTTCGCGAAAATGGAGTCATGATCGCGAACTATCTGCTTTATCAATGAAGGCGAACTTACAACGACGTAGAGTTTGCTGCCGAGCCGGAGGCGGTAAATGGGGCCGTACTTGTGAGACAATTGTGTGAACTGGTGGTGCAAGTTGTGTTTGAGAAACGGGAGGTATCCGAGAATCGGAAGGCCGTATGGTCCGGGCGGAAGCGGTGGCTTGGTGCCGGTTTTTAAGTTGCCGAGTACTACTATCCATGAGTAACAAAATAGGGACGCTAGAAGAAAAATGAAGGTTAGGGCAGCAAGTCCAAGCTCATATTCCATTATGTTTTTTTTCTTTGTTGCGGCAAATTAGTGTTGTTAGTTCAAGGAATATATGCTAGGAATAAGAGGACCGCAAGAATTATTATAACAAAATATGAGAAATATCTTTTTCCACTTTCGGCAGCTTGATGCTACACCCGGTGTTTATCACATGTGACATGTGGCAT